GATGGTTCACAACAAACATATTCTTTGGAGGAATCAGTTATTGACTTGAAAGCAGTTAGACTAAAGTATTGGCTGAGTGTTTAAAGCATTTAACTTTCAACTACTAAGACACAGGTGCAACCCTCTCTCCATCTATTCCGGTTTGAACAACTAAGTAATTTTACTAGCTACCAAACTTAGAGTGTGGCTTAAAACCAGGTATACGAATCTGTATCTGGTAAGCGGACTGGATTAATTGATGTGTTTATGCATATATTATCGCTATTCTTATTGTTATTGTCATTATTACTAAAAAATTTATGAACTCTAGTTCATTCATAAATGTGATAACGTGACTTCTATCTAGAATAATGATCGCTTGGTTAAATCATTTTTATTCAATCATATGACAAGTCTTTATGAAATCTCATTCATTTACTTATTGATAAATCTCCAAAATGAGTGGTTATTAGAATACACCATACATTAGCTTATGGTTATTTCATCCTCATCAATTTCAAGTTGTAATTCACTGTCTAAACAATCAAAATGAATTCGATCGTGTAATAAGATGATCCGACCGTTGCTGCTACCGTGACGTGGTGGTCGAGCTTTCTTATCGTGATGAACCAATCGAGCTATACTGGCTGGAACAATCGTTCTTCAAGGTCCTACCATGTCAGACAGGTCGGTTGAAGAGCAGTAAGACTGAAAGCAGCAAACCCAAGGTCCGAGGTTGAAGTCGTACTGCTGACTGTACAGAGGTGTGACAACAGTAAGGTGTTTCCTCCGGACAACCAGCATAACAGCGATGCTGCCTTCCCACAAGGAGGGGTGTGGTTAGAAAAGGTCGACCCTAAAAATGCACACCTCGCCTTGTGCCACGGATATCCGTCTCCGGCGGTAAGGTCCCAACAAGCACGGAGCTAGCACAAAAACTATCCACAAAAAGGTCGTGTGTGACCGACCTCAAGCAGTTGTCCCTTGGGCACTGCGGTCACGCTCTCAGGTCGTTAAGACCACTTCTAACCCAACTTCCTTTTCAGGTACCTCTGGAAGAAACCTTCCACTGTGTGGGCAACCAGGAAGTGATAACTGCCCTTATACCTCTAACAACACTCAAGACCACTGTATTAAATAAGAAGACGAAGATTATCTGAACATAGTTCTGATAATCTTCGTCTTCTTCTTATACTTTCGAAATTTATCAAACGGACTAATTGCTTTAAATCAAAACAACACCAAACTTTATTTAAGGGATGAACAATTGATAAGTTAGCAAAAAAACGTTTAAAACATTTACTATATAGAAAATACATAAAACAAATAATGGTATATTTTTTAATAATAATATTACTTAACTTGTGAAGTTCGTTTCTCCTAATATCATGCTTAATTTTAAAATATATTGCTATTTTTAGCTTTTAAAAAAATATATTGGAATTATTTGCAACAGTAATGATAAAATTATTCTCAAATTACATGATTTGTTATTAAATTATTAATGTCCAACATGTTGAAAGTCATATCTTCAGTTAGTTGTAGTGTAATTATAAATCGTGGATACGCACTGCTGAAGAGTCCCACAATAGGACCAAACGGCCGTCCAGTGCTTCCAGATTTTCCATGGTGGTCTAGCTTCAATTGACTCATGAATTCAACTATATATAATAGTTAAAAGAATGTTCAAATAATTTATTGATTTCTTTGTTTCGTTTAAAAAGAGAAATAATATTTTACTATTTTAATTCTACTTGATGGCTTCATCAATCTCCATGTCTTAATTTTATATTTATTAGTGAGTTTTCGTCCTTTTAACTAGTTAAAAATATAAAGTAGCATGAGTTTCCATTTTCATTTATTCAGTTAATTTAGAGGATAGTTTGATAGGAAATTACATGCATTAATCATATATTTATATAGGAATTTAAAAGCCAAGTTATTTATTGTTTTATGCAAACTTGGTAAAGAATTACATTGATGGAGAGTGCTGAGTGACTCTTTAAGCGATGATTTTCGGATTATATATATATATATATATATATATAATCCAAAAATATTTTCTCCAACCATAATTTTTTTGAGGTCGAAAACAAATAGAGCAGAAAGTAATTACTATTACACATTAAATACCTTTTACTGTGATTTATTTAATAAAATATTTTATTTTGATGTATGTAGATTGTATGTAGATCCATGTAGATTGGTAACAAATAGTTGGTCAAACTCTTGTCGAGTTAATTCAGGTTTATATTTATTTGGACTGTCCTTTTTTGTATCTGTTCACTTCATATATATATATATATATATATATATATATATATATATATATATATATATATGACCTTAAATTTACCATGACCTCAAATGACGTTCAGATTTTTAAACAATGCAAGGTTAGTTGTAAAACCGGGCATTTTATTTATTCGCTCTTTTGAATATTAGACTAGAATATTGAGTCTATGTTTAGCATAGAGGGTGAAGATGGATTCGAAATTGATTTTATGTTATATTGAGGTACCTGATTATTTCTAGTTAAATGGTATGGAATATGCATTTTTATTTTGTACCGCTATAACAGACCAATATAACATTGTGATCTCTATGGGGTGTTTTGCGATCTGAGCTGATTCGGGATCGGGAATACCTATGTCAAAATTGTGTTGCAATGAATTCAGTAGTTGTTCGCTGCATGGCTGTAATTGTCAGTGCGTTTAACCATTAAACCAAAAATAGACATTCCCAACTTATGTATTCAAAAATGGAAGGCTAAACTTTTTTTATGAATAACAATTTCAATGAATACTATATTTTTTTTTAGCTGTATGGATCTAACTCAAAGTTTAATATTTAAGCTATGACGCATAGCTATCTAGCGTACAAGCTAATGAGTTTTACTACAATTGTGGAAATATTTTTGGTTGGTTTTATCATCTAATACAACGGCTTTCATGTTTCAATTGACATAAGTTTCCAGTAATTAGCGTTTAAGCATCAGAGTTAATTCATTTGAGTTGATAATTATATGTGTAGTGTACGAGAATTCAGACGGGGAAAAACCAATTTATTGTTCAACGCAAAATAAAAAAAGTGCTTTGGTAAAATATGAAAACCATACATTAAATATATTATTTGCACATCTTCCGTCAGTTGTCCTTCACATGCTTCATAATTCTTTCAATTCTATTTTTATTACAATTGCTCTCTGTTCCCTTGCATGCATTCCACATCTGATTGCTAATGCATACTACTTATATCTATCAGCATAAGTAGTATTCATCACATATGTTTTTGTTAGATATGATGATATAGCCTACAAAGAGTACCGAGTAATGTAGGAAATGCGTGGCCTAAATTTTGTTGCTTTTCATTGCCCGATGCTACGTTATTAAAAATTATTTACGCTTATGAATGCTTCGATATTAGGATGTATCGTTAACAACTTTGTGAGGAACTAATCTATACAATAACTTCAATTAAAGCAAAAGTTAATGAATTAACAAAAAATATGTTCTACTTAAACTTTAGTGAGCAGCAGTTCGTTCTGTCCTACTTTATGACAGTGAAACATGGCCGATAAGAGTAGAGGACATTCGTAGGCTACTAGTATTCGATCATAGATGTCTTCGAAGCATTGCTCGTATATCCTGGGACCACCGAGTAAGCAATGCAGTTGTTAGGAAACGAGTACTAGGTAAGGTTGGCAAATCGATCGATGAAGTAGTGAAACTTCATCAGTCGAGATGGATAGGACACGTGTTACGTATGCCCAACCACCGACTCCTCCAACGTGCGGTGTCTTATGGTGTAGGAGTAGGTTGCAAGAAAGCTAGGGGCGGCCAGACCAAGATGTGGCACAAATCCATGAAATCATTGACAATTGGACTTAGCCATGTTGGTAGGTGTAGACTACCTGGTTGGGATCCACGAGGCAATAGCATTCGATGGTTAGAGACCTTGAATGACATGGCTCAAAATCGTTTGCAATGGCGAAGGTGCATCCGCTCTTTGTATTCTCCCAAATTCTAATCTGAATTCTTCATGTTCCTTTCCTTTTCTCTTTCCAAATTTATTTCGCTGGATTATACTCCTTGAGTAACATCTTCAAACTCTAATCTTTCGGATTACTGCTTATACTCGTTCTGTTTTAAGATGTTAATCCTTGTTGTTGTATATCATAATTGGTTTATAAGCTTTGAAACTGGTCTTGAACAAATATTTCATATTCTGTCAATATTAATGTGTTCATGTCGTTACTGTCTGTCATACAAATACATGAAATTATGTTGCTAAACCATGTGTTTTTAATTTTTTTTATGTGTTGTAATTTACTTTAAATAATTATGTGTGTTTGCCAGCATGTTAGATAAATTGCAAATAAGTCCCATTTATTTTGATGTTATTTATTTGTAGATCGAGTAAGCTATATTGGTACACGTCGACAAAGTGGTAAGTTGGTTTTTTAAAAAGAATTTTGTTTTGTCCATATTCATTTTTTTCTAAAACATGACTATCTTTATGGTCCTGCTTAGACTTTCCTAATCTTGATTAGTATATCTTCTAGATGACGTCTATCACCTAAAAACATTATATCGTGGTTTTAACAACAGCTGAAATAGTTGGTTTTTATGAACTAATGTAGTACATGTCAGAGTAACACATTTTTGATTTTATTATTTACAGAATTATTGTCTGGATGTCCCCAAGATAATGCAAGAAAAAGTCTCTTCCGTCAAATATACAATAATAAGACTGAAAGTGATGACAGAAAATCAGTTTCCAATGAATTTGTATGTCATTAGCTATTTTGTTTCTGTCGTTACTTTACTCAGTACTAAGTTTATCTACACAGAAAATCACATACAAATGATGGCTTTTCTTTAGGATATAAAACACTCATCCAAAAAAGGAGTATTGTTTTACAATTCATGCTTGAATCATTAGATTTATTAGTTCTGAATAATCGAATTTATTGAGATTTCATCTAATCGTCCGGAACGCAAAGACGTCTCTCCTATAAGGAAAATTGTAAGATTTTGGTGATTTAATTTTTACGTGGACTCTTACTCTTCATTAAAATAAATCGTAACCAAAGTTAGGATTTTCATTTGTTGTATTCTCTCTTGTTGTCTAGCCTTCATTCATCAAATTTTATTTAGCTTCACCATCTTTGTTGGCTCATTCAACAAGTAAATTTTCTATTGATCAATTTTTATTTCAATTTTACTAATCGAATGAGAAAAGTACTTTCGAAAAGATCATGAAAATAAAGGTCACAAATGAAAATCTTTCCATTATCTTCTTTTGTGAGTAGTTCACATTAAAAAAAGAGATCTCATTTTTGTTTTGTTCAAAATTGAAAAAGCAATCTAATATATATATATATATATATATATATATATATATATATATATATATCTTAAGGATCCTCAATTAAGATAACGAAACGCAATCCAGTGTTAGATTAAATTTCTAGAACATGTTCCAAAAAACCGTCGAACGAGAGAGAGTACTACTTTGAGCAATGCAATTCTTAAACATCTCTTCGACACAGGACATCAGGTTGACACCTTGAAATCTTTCAAGGTGGTTAATAAACAGTCAAGCTCCAGTCTTTTGAAGTTTGCTGAAGCCATTGTTATCAGGAGTCAGAAACCTGATTTATGTGTTCATAAGGAGATGGTTGTTAATCATTCTTACCTTGGTGACAAATATTAGTTCTTTACGTCATGAAGATTTTGTTCAACTCTTTCCTTCAAATAATCACATCAATACATCTTTTTATTTTGACTGTCTTCTAGACTAGCAATCTTGTCAATTAACTGGGCTTAACTCATTTTATCCTTACTTATGATTAGAGTTTACTCGTTACATAACCACTTACTTCTAGCACTTTAGACCTTTGTTACCTTTGTTACATCCGTAAAAAATGCAATTGGGAATAATAAAGTTAAGATAAGTATTTTAGTTTCTGAGACTATGTTTTAAAATCAATGGAATAATGCGTCAGATTATCAATAATACCACTGTATTTATACAACATATATCCATCTCCAGACATACTTTTAAGGATATTTCGATAGAACGCTGTTCTATTATTGATTTCGTCATAGTATTTAACTTAAAATATATTCTTCTAATTAGATCGGGACTAATTAACTACTTTAGCGTAAAAGGAGTTCAAAAAATTTATGATTCTTACGCCTAGTTTTATAATAATTTAAGATTATCGAAGTCATCAAGAATTCGATACATTTGACTGATACCATTTTAAATGGTTTTACTTAGTTAAGTGTTTTGTTTTGAACGAGGTTCACTAACAATATTCTGTGAGTTTAGTTGTTAAGTAACCTATTCATTCTGATTTTTTCCACTTTTTAGTGGCAGCTGAAAGTTTTAATCCAGCCACGATAACTGATGTGGAACCTGTTGTTCATCCAAAGTCTGTAGCACAAAAACTTCGTTTAGTATCAGTTGTTAAACCAATTTTCATTTTTCGTTCATTGGATGAGGTGAGTTATGTGGAGTTTGTTCGTGCGGTTATGATTTTGTGATAAAGCCGATTTTCGGTGAGATGAATTGCTTAAATGAATGAAATGCTTAGATGAATTTCTTAAACTTCTAATTGTTGTATAGCAAACATGATGACATTTATTCTGATTCATCCACTTCGTTAATCTCGAGTTAAACTCATAAAGAAAACTTGTTTTAATATTTTAAGTGGTACAGTGATTATTTCCAAACATCATTAAAGTATTCATCTGAAAGTCAAGTGCTATTTATGGCCTTGATGTCTGTCTCAGGTCGTCGGCACTTTGTATTCCTTGGTATACCTTAAGGATTCTAGATTGCAACTCGCCTTAAGATGCACTTGAATGGTTCTCGCAAAGTGTGTTATATCCACCTCCATCGTCTATTCCCGATTTTCTTGTCAAATGGCAGCTGCTATTTTCTGTACAACAATATGTTACTACTGCTGGTCTTTGACCAATGTATCTGGAATACCTTGCGTAAATAGATATTAATGATTGCCTGTATTTTTATGGTAATAGTGATGATAGTTCTTCGAATTTCAGACCTGTGCGATAGAACTATTTTAATGCTAATTTTCAAATTTCTTAATTTGGTATCGGCTGAGAGTTCTTTCCAGTTTCATATGTTATTTAGTTGTAGTTGTAGTCATCTTCATTTTATTAGTTTATACCATCATAGCTGCGTCAGATACTCTTTGTTTATCAGTGGTACTGCCCAATTAAATGAAGGGTTATATCTCTTTCAGAGTTCACCATCAAATGTGATTTGGTCGGTCCCCACTGCTGTACTTCAGGATGTTACTTCCACTGTATATGCTGAACCCTAATGCTCCTTAGGCCGCTGCTACACTGGAATTCTTTGTATTTGTTTGCGGCTATGTGAACCACAACACGGTCAAGTTATCTGCGAAGACCAAGTCATACTGTTGTTTTCAAGGTGTCTCTTCTGCATTCCCTGCTTCTCCCAAAGTGTGGGGGTCACTATAATGTAATTGACAATCGAAAGCAAGAGTAGGTAGCCTCGTCTAACTCCAGTATCCACTCAGAATACACTTGTGGGCTGCCTTTCATGCACGACTTTCCAATTCGGTCATTCTTAGAAGTTCCGTATGATGGTGACGATCTTTTCAGATGCCTCATAGTGTCAAAGAAGGTTATCCTATCCATACTGTCAAACCCTTCCTCATAATCAAGGGAGTTGAAATATAGTGATGAGTTCCATTCAATTAATTGCTGAACAAATATCCAGTGTTGCTATTGGGTTGATATATGATTTATCTTTACGAAGTTAGCTTTTTGATCTTTGATCTTTTTCGTCATCTTGATGATCTATCCTTCTTGCCAGTTTACTGGTACTTACTCGTTCTCCGTAGACATCCTCTTGTAACATGGTCTGCCGGCATTGCTAGGTCTTCCACATATTACCGCTTATCATCTATAAAGCTCTTCTTCACTTATTTGTTTGCTTCTAAGTATTCGGCCTGTGCCGAATTAGCTCAGTTAGCTCCTCTCTCTTTGTTATTATGCCTACAAAGAATTTTCTGAACTTTTACTCATCCATATATAGTCGACTCAGTGGTACAGTGACACCTTTGAAGCTTTGTGTATGGATTTGTGAAATAAAGTGCTGCCACCTATGGTATTGCTGTTTAAAGCACGCAGACTTACCAGACTAACAATATTCCAGCTTCTTTCTCCTAGACTGTGCCACTCCATGGTGCGTTCATATCTAGTGTTGTCCATCCCGACTTTGGCGTCTAGGTCTCCCATCAGAATAGGATTCCATGAAAAGTCTTAACGGTAATATATATATATATATATATATATATATATATATATATATATATATATATAACAGGAATTTTTTAGGTCAGCTTGATACGTATATGGTTGCTCATGACACGTAGATCACACTAATTATTTGATGTTAATTAGTTTGGACAAGTCAAAAATTACTATTTTAGAAACCAATAACTTTTAATTACTTTCTAAGTAATTGGAGCGTAATCATACTTGACATAGTGTTTAAATGCTTGTTATCAGTAATCTATGTTTCACATAACTGTCTTTTCAGAAAATGAAGATGACAAACTAAGTTTAAGAAAAAGAGATCAAAGCAAGAATTCTGATTTCCTCCTTAATAGGAAGAAGCACTCATCCTGAATTATACTGCTACTCACAGTTCAAATTCACTGAAAAGTCAACATTATTACTGTTATATCCTAAGCCACGTCAAATATCACGTGAAACATAGATCGCCAATCAGAACACTGACTTATACTACCCTGGCCGTGTGCCAAACCAGCACGAGCAGCCAAGAGTCAACTCGGAGTCCTTATTGGTTCTTGTTGCCTTGCCCTGCCCATTGAGTCCAGAACACAACCTCAGCTTCCACTGTATGAATAATGTATTTCAGATAGTCGCATTTTATATACAAGCAAATCAGATCGTATCATACGATGAAATAGAAAATAACAATAATACAAGATCGAGCCAAAAGTAGCTGTGGGTGTGAGGCTGTAACTAATAGATTAGGAATAACTTGAGAATAGTAAGCCCTACAATAACAGTCAAGTCAAACGAAAGCTTATGATAAAAGGAATATGAATGTTCATATAATCTAGCTACTTGATTGCAATCAAATCAGAATATATATAATAATAGGTCATAAATAATTTCTAGCAGTTACCATTCATGTATTCTTCGTTAGGATATGACAAATGCAAAATCAAATTTTATTTAATTTACAATTAAAGTAACAAATCTGGTATCCCTTGCTTGTCGGTAATCGTATTTGGCTTTGGCCTATTCATTGGGTTTGAGTAAAATGATAGTCATTATCTATGTGTTGGTTTTATGCAGTCACTGATTAGTTTGGAATTTCGTTATTTTATACATCTGTATAACATGTCAGCTTCCACTAAGTACTCACTAGCAGTTTCTGAAAGGACCAAAAATAATTTAACCTAATAAGGTTAAAAAAGTTGGGTTAGGGGTTTACACAGTGGTCTTATTACTATTTGGTTAATGTAAGTAAACTAAGTGTTAACGCTGTTGATATTCAGGACTGATTTTGACCAGTTTATGTTGATTTATTGACATTGAGTATAACTGGAAGTTCAGTTCTGGGTAATGACCACCATTTTTTTTACAGTTCACTACAAATAATATGTCCATTGAACAAGTTGAAGAGAATCATATCAGTAGTTTGATGGATGGCACTCTTTCGTTTTAATTGATAAATACACAATCCTAGTCCCAGTGTAAAAATTGGCACTGTAATGTAAGAATATTCAACTGATAAATACAGGACAAAACGAAATGTACTGCTTGATTCACAATTTTATTGTTTATTCAAAAGTAATTGTTTACGGGTTACACTATTGCCACAATTAATATCAATTTTCCATACAAAAAACTGCTGAACATAATTTTTACATCAAACCGGTTTAAACGTTTTAAAACATTTTTCCCTTGGATAAATGAATGATCTACTAACTTTTCATACATCATTTCATCTACAAAAATTAAGGTTTTTCATCTGTTGGAAAATTATCCTTTTTTGCTTATCTTCATTGTTAATAATTTTTTTCTTTCCTCTTTTTATATTTAACAAATAGATTCAACTGAGAAGAGTAATCGATGCAATAAAAGAAACGCCTGTGACTAAAGGTCAAGTAATTATAAACCAAGGTGAAGATGGTGATTATTTTTATGTAATTGAAAGGTGAGTGTATTAAATGAGATAGAACGCTGGAAATATAAGGAGAATTTAATATATATGTATGCGCGAATGAAAGATAAACGGATTAGATTGTTTTACTGTTAATTTCTTATATTTAAATTGTTTATTAAGCAATGAGAAATCTCTAAATGACTATGCTGAAACGAATTACTAGTTGGATGTAACTGACAAAAATAAAACACTACCATAAGGTTGTATATTCCAACATTTATTGTTTATTTTTCCGAAGGAATTAGCTGTCCAGCTTGAAAGCTTATCACTATTAAGAGTAAATAATATGAATTCAAACTTGAAAATCAAATTCATTGACTATAAGAAGGCGTTTGACAATGTGGGCCGGCAAACATTATGGAAACTTCTTCGACACTATGGAGCTCCTGGGAAGATTGTCAACATTATCCGGAACTCATACGACGGACTACAGTGCAGAGTCGTGCATGGAGGACAGCTGACAGATCCATTTCCAGTAAGTACCGGGGTCAAACAAGACTCTATTCTCTACCTTCCTCTTTCTTCTGGTGATTGACTGGATTATAAAGACTTCGACATCTGAGAGGAAGCACGGAGTACAATGGACATCTCAGAATCAATTACACGGTTTGTACTTCGCAGATGATCTAACCCTCCTATCCCATACACACGAACAAATACATACGAATACAACTAATGTAGCGACAGCCTCTGAGTCAATAGGCCTCAACATACACAAAGGAAAAAGCAAGATTCTCATATACACCAACCCAGTCACACTTGATGGCGAAACTCTGGAAGAGATGGAAACATTCACGTACCTGGGAAGCATCATTGATGAACTAGGAGGATCTGATGCAGACATAAAGGCGAGGATTGGCAAAGCAAAGGCAGCATTCCTACAATTGAAGAACATATGGAACTTCAAGCAACTGCCAACTAATTTCAAAGTCAGAATCTTCAATACGAACGTGAAGATAGTCCTACTGTGCGGAGCTGTAACGTAGAGAACTACTAAATCCATCGTCAAGATGGTACAAATATTTATAAACAGTTGTCTATGCAAAATACTCAACATTCACTGGCCGGATACTATCAGCAACAGCCTTCTGTGGAAGAGGACAAACCAGCTTCTAGTTGAAGAAGAAATTAGGAAAAGACGTTGGGAGTGGATAGTTCATATATTGAGGAAATCACCGAACTGCATCACGAGGCAAGCCCTAACTTTGATTCCGGAAGGGAAGCGGAAAAGAGGAAGGCCAAAGAACACATTACGTCGGGAGATTGAAGCGGATATGAAAAGGATGAATGTTAACTGGAAAGGATTGCCCAGGACAGGGTTGGATGAAGAATGTTGGTGTGCGGTCTATGCTCTACGAGGGGTAACAGGCTTAATTAAGTAGTCAGATTTGAAAGGATGCTTTTTAAGGTTGTAGTGTATATTACCGTATCAAGCCCACATGTGTTATTCTAGCTTCTGAACAGAGGGATTTATTCATTCTTCTCAAGTCACATTTCAACCTTGTCAACTATTCGCTCATATTCTTGACAGTTTTTATGTGAGCGTGTACGTCATTACAGTAAGAATATCTTAATTTATAATTAACTATCTGACTGGAATTATAAACGAAAAATAAATTAAGCAAATGATATTTATTGCATATTTATGTAGCACACGATTGTAATTAGATGATATAGTTACAGGACATTATGATTCATTCTATGGATAACAGAAAATAATGCTAATATAATCAGAGGTTTTCTTTTATAGGAACGAAAGTTTACATGTAGTTGTTCAAGCTTCAATTATTTACTTGTGGGAGTAAAAGTGAGGTTAGGAAAATTGTTATTTATTGATTATGTCTGAAAGTTAGAGATTTTTTCACTTTATTGAACCTTGTTCTTTAAAAAAGCCATTAAAAATATTTCAATTTTATGAAAGCAATTATTCTTTAAGTAAAAAAACAAACAGGCCAATAGCCTGTTAATAGTTAAATTCATGGGTCGATGTAAGCTAGACCATCATTGGAAACCTAGAAGCAATGGATGGCCGTTTCGTCCTAGTACGGTACGCCCCAGCAGTGCGCATCCACGATTCCGCAAGCGGGACTTGAACCCACGACCTTCGATCTCGTACACACGCTTAACCTTTAGACCACTGAGCCGGCAGCCAACGGTGTTAACGTTTAACTTTAAACAATCCATGGTCTTCCACAACCATCCATCTATTGTCTGAGGTAGATACCTGTCACTATCCAACTGGGATTGGACTCTACTGGTCACGGCTTCTCACTAGAACTCCCGGAAATCACCTTGAAGCCAGTCACTAGTGAGCACATGATGATTATTATCAGAATAGGGGTTTCGTGGTGATTATAGTTATTTTAATCGTTAATTTGACGAGTCAATCTAAGCTAGATCACCATTGAGAACCTGGAATCACTGGTAGACTGCTTCGTCCTAGAATGGGACTCCTTATATTGATGTATTTCTGCTGTTGTTTTCTCTTGTTAAAATGTTTTACCGTACAAATAAACCACTTGAAATTGTCGTTTAATCTTAATTTTTGTTTGTAACATTTTACTATTAAAAGACTGTACTATAACTGTTCTATTCCATGAAAAAAAACGTATAGGACACGTTATTTTAAATTCTTATGAACAAATGAATTCGATTTCTTCATGTAAATTAATGACTACTAATTTGTAAATGATCAAGAGACGAACGATTAATTTATAAAATAAAAATAGTTCATAAGTAATGAATACTGATGAATCTAATAAATCTACTTATTTAGTTTCCATTTCTTTTTGTCATATAATATAAAAAATAAATGCATATTTCTTCTTGTATGTTTTGGATAATCCGCCTTCCAAATTCGTGTATATTATGTATACTTTATACGTGAAAAATTATATTTAAAATAGTCTCAGGGATTGAAATTTAAATAATTTCAACGTTTCGTTCAGCTGACTTGTCTGAAGATGTCCACACAAGTTAGCTGGACGAAACGTTGGAATTATTTAAATTTCAGTCGCTGAGACTATTTCAAATATAATTTTTCATATATAATAACTTCTTTATACTCGGCGCCCAATTTTTGTCAAGCTATTCGTTCTAACCTTGACGAATATTCGTATAAATTATGTATGCTTTGTTTTTATTTTTTTCTTTTAATAAATTGATTTGTTTGTTTTTATTTTCCAAGTTTTTTATTCATCAAAATGTTTAATTTTCTTAATTTATACTGAGAAAAATGTCATGAATTAAATTGAATTTAGTGAAAAAATTGTTGACACATGTTTCTTTTTGTCGTTGTTATTGTTGACCGTTTCATTATTTAATATTCCATTTATAAAATAAAAGAACTTTATAATGAAATTTATAATTGAATAATAATTAAAATATTATGTTGCTCACTAGTGACTTACTTCAAGAGATATTGCCTGGAGTTCTAGTGGGAAGTGACTATTGGAGTTCAACCACGTCTGTTGTGAGATATCAACTCACTGAAGACGATTGGTGAACGGTTGCTCAACTTCGTGGATTGGTTGAAGTTAGATATTAACACCATCAGATATATATATATATATATATATATATATATATATATATATATATATATATATATATATGGGATAAAGTTTCTAGACAGTTTTGAATACGTAAATGAAGAACATGAATTTATCCATTCGAGTTAGTGTACATCACAAACTGTCGTTAACCAGACATCTAGTGAAACCAAAAGGAACTGAACAGATGTTTATTTTTAGTATGAAATCTACAGATTGAACTAATGATTTTCACGTCTCACAATACATGTACAACCTTTGAATCATTATAAATCCATTCTCGAAATAAATTTGAATTAAATAAATTATGCAGACCTTCTGTGATGAAGAAGTCGAGTTATTCAACTGAGATACATGTAAATGGATCACAATTCGTTGTTAAATTCATACATTTACTCTGTTTATAATTGAATTGTGTTTTTATTTTAATGCATTGCACTGATAACAATGAAATAGTATAAATATTTTCAATAACTCTAGTGTATTATCACAAATATTTTCACACGTTTTTTCACAATTATAAACGTGAATAAGGAAAGATTAAATATTTTAAGCAGTGTAACTCAAGTTCATTTATTTTATCTTGGATTCTTCCCAGTTGCTTACAACCTAAAACCATAGTATTAATCACTAAGAACGAAACAAGTATACATATATAATATATCAAAAAACGTCTTAAATAAATTCAGTTGATATTCTCCTACAAGATTTATCCTTCCATTATTTAAGTTCAAAAATAATTTGTTAATGTTGGTTGAATTATATAGATGAGCTTTTGGAATGAATTATAGTGGTCATTTATTTACATTGTTGACATTTTTCGGTTGTGTAATAGTAGGATTCATTATCAGATTAATTCTCCTGTAAAATTTATGTTTTACTGAAGTTACGCTATGCTACCCATAACTCAATACACGAAATAATGCTATTTGCAATGTTCAGAGTCATTAATTTAATTCTTTATGCCTTTGATCTAACCTTATAAAAGTATTTTAAGGCACCATTTATATGTAACCACAAGTAAGATAGAAAAAATTGTCCATTACTTTCTTCCTTAGAAACCGATCATTTTTTCTTTTAACAAAGTTTTGATGTGTTATGTCCCAAAATTCACTGAAGATTATCAGTTCTGTTAACTGATGATATAGTTGTCAGTTTAGCTTATAATCAATTAAAAATATTCATAGTTTTAAAAATAGGAAGAAGCTTCTATTCATTTATCTTAACTAGACAGTACCAGGTTTTCTTGTTAATTAGATTATTCATCTGTACAGGTAAAGATTCATCATATTTTTAATAGTGTTGATTTGTTGTTAGTGATAGTGTTTCTGCGACTGAATTATTTGTTTATAAAAGAGACTATTTCTAATTTATTATGAGAAAATATGTAAAGTATTAAAGTATTTTGTTTGCTAATAAAAAATAAATTGTTTTGTTTTCATTTTAGTGGGAACTATGACATAATCATAAATGGGGATATAGTAGGAAGTTATGCTGGATCGGGTTCTTTTGGGGAACTAGCACTTATGTATAACACTCCTCGAGCGGCTACCATTATAGCGAAAACGGATGGTGTACTATGGTCTTTGGATCGAACAACGTTCCAACATATAGTTTTGCGACAGGCATTTTTAAAACGTCAACTTTATGAAAACCTTTTGTCTTCAGTTCCGCTTTTAGGTAGTTTAAGTGCATACGAACGTACTAATTTGGCGGATGCACTTGGAAGTCATACCTATGACGATGGGGCATGGATTATTCAAGAGGGTGAACCGGGAGAAGAAATGTACTTTATTGAGGAGGGATGTGTTGTAATTTCTACCAAGAATTCTGTAAGAAATGTTCTCATTATTTGTATATTTTCTTTATCAATATTGATAATTTGTCCTTTATGTAATATTACTGAATTAAGTTTATTATAATGTACAGTGTTCCAATCACCATTATCTTTTTCCCTCGTCGATCGATTTTGTTTCATAAAGTACAAATTAATTGTTTCTTTTGACCCCACCTACATGTAGTTAGTTTAAATAACTAGGGATATATGTTTAACGCTATTTTTATTATTTGGTTGTTGATAATAACAACTTATCAGTTGTTTTAACAAATAAACTGTCGAGCAAAAATGTTCCATTGTTATTGAGATACTGATTATACCATTATTTACAGTTTAAAAATTTAACTGTCCCAGCTCATTAAAGTTCGGTAGATATGATAAAACAAATTTGAAACCGTAATAGTATCGGAGAAAAATGTCATGATAATAAATCTATTACGGTTTAGCAACATAACGGATTAAGGATGTAGTTTGCATAAATTATGAGTCACGAACATGTAGGATGAGTTTCCTATACATGTATAGCAAGGAGATCACCGATACAAAATGTCAAACGAATATGTACTATCTCTTTTATTTCTGGTTTCTATTTACCCAGTCGATGATTCAGAAGGATAGGTCTCTTTTCATTGAATAATCCATGTTCATGTGATTTTTTTATCATTGCAACCATTGTTATGCCTTTTTTTCCAACCTGTCGCCAAATCCTCTTTTCAGTTTCTGAACTAAAATAACGGGTTTTTCTGCTTTTTTTCAATGCATCCCAAAGATTGTTGTTATTAACAAACATATTTTACACTATCACTATTAACAAAGAATATGCATGTATTTGATTGTACATTTTTGGAAATAAAATCATTGGAAAGCAACATTTTCGTTAAACAACTAAATATTGGACAAGAAAGGTCTCAGATAATTAAAATTTACTATTCTGTCCTCAGCTTCATTTGAACGACTGATATAATTTCAGTATTAAGAACATCGGTAGTTTATCTTCTATTGTGATAGGGAATTGTAATTATTGATTTTCTAAAATAACTAATACTTAACATGGTACAACTTTCTTTCGTCTTGGATAGAGAAAACACTGATGCTTTAGTTGTTTAATCATCAGTTTTATTGCACAAAATTAAAGTTTGTAAATCGTTTCGACTTGTTGAAGAAAAATGATTTTATTTATTTTTTTAATGATTAGGCTGAACACTTGGTTATTTTATTTTATAATTAACCGGTTTTCTGGTGGGGAAATATATATAATGTTTATCCTTATGGTGCTTATTTAAATGTTATGCAGACCTTTACAAAGTTGGTTTTGAAGTTTGTAATTACCACTAAAAGGATTGGACTTGATATATTCAAATAAATTTGGCACTGACCAGATTGTTTATTATAATATATCTGTTTTAGAAGTTGTATTCGATCTTGAATTCAGAACTATTAAATGTTTTTGTGTAATATCCTATGAACTTCAGGTGTCATTGTCACATTTACAAAAGAGAGCAATGTCTTGAACATTGGCTATGATCCATGACATAAAAACTGGAAACTAGTTGAAATGCAAACAACTTTCACACCATATATGGTTATTAAAAAGATAAAAGCCAATAAGGAGTTTTTGCTTGTCAAATCTAGCACAATTTAAAATTGTTCTTAGCATGGAGTATAGTTGTACTATGTGTGTAGTATTTATTTGAATTGATCTTTATTATTAAAAAAATGGTTTTTCAATGATATTTTTTAATGAAGTTACAAGTGAATGCACACTCAGAATTTTAATGGTAAATTTCCATGAGTAAGTAATGTATTTGAGAAGATACATTCGCAATATTTGTCAGCAAATAGTGTCATTTTACAATTTTCCCATTTTGTACTAAATGTGTTTCTTAGTTGAAAGCATGAGTCAATTGAAGCTAGACCACAATGGAAAACCTGTGTGTTTCTGTTAGCTAATAAATTCGTTTTCGTAAGGATACAAATAATTTCAGTCTACCTCATTTATATAAGTATTGGTAACTATACAGAAAATTTATTTGGTGCTAGACTTAGTTCTGATGATTCAATGACGGATCTCATTGTACAAAATGTTTGACAGTTAGCTTTTACTATATCGCTTCTCATTCAACTATCTTTATTAATTAAATTAGATACCAAATTAAACGTTTTTAAGAAATCATAAAACGTGGCACCATTGGTGTTATAGGGTTTTTAAGCAATGTAAAATTATATTAGAAAACTGATTTGGTTAATTATAATGAAACTGTAGCTCAGCTAGATAGGGTAGTGCATTGTATACCATTACCCAAGAGAACTATCTAAATTGTTTGTCGCTTAAAACTGATTTGCAGATTTAAGTAACTATTTCCTTAAGTGACAAAAAACAAAAAAGTTTCATTTATTCATAATTTTTGATGATACAATACGCGTCGGTAGGGTATGGTTTCAGAGAATCTGACAATTCTGAATGATACTAGGATAATGATTAAGATTTATGGCCTGATATTCAGATGTAACAATGGATGTGAATATGTTTTACAAAACCATTTGTGAATTTTTTTTTCCTATTTATAAAGAAGTACACGGAGAGAACCAATTAGTTAGCAATTCAGTATTTGTTGTTATCATCAAAAACAGGTTCCTTATTTTGAAAGAAGTTTGAATAAATAAGCAAATATTTTTAAAAACACAAATAGGTTAGGATTGCATTCCAGTTGAAAATTTTTACTAAGTTTTTATTTTCTTAGTGAGTTTCACTACACTAATACAGTAATTTTTTTTCGCAAATAGAAAGGAGAGGAAATCGTACTCAAACAGCTTCAGAAGAATGATTATTTTGGTGGTATGTACATTATTGTATTATGTTTCAATATAATGTAGATATTTTTTTAGCTTTTTTCTTAAAATCTATGGATAATTTTTCGTTATATTTTAAAACGTCAGTATAATAGCTTTAAGCACTTATCATTAAAGAGTGCATATAGTGATAATGTACATAACAATATGTAGTTATTAATCAATCATGCTTGTATTCTGAAAATCTCGTGGTATTTTTCAGAGACGTAGTTGCATGTTTTTTAAGGATATACAAAAGAATGTAAATGTAGCTTAGGTAATTTGCTGATATCCTGTTAAATCTTTACACTAATGATTGAAATATTGGGTTTTCTGTTAGCCTATATTAAATTTTATTTAAGGTTAATTTAATAGGATCTTACGAATGGGAGTTATGGTAGGCTGAATGCTCGTCACACAACAACAATTCAATACGCTAATAGAGAAGACGAAAATTTGAGTATAAATTTGTATTCCATGCAGAAGTCATATTTGAAAAAGAACAATTGTTTTTATTGTAACACTGAATGACCTTGGCTCATGTAGCAAAATAATGCAAAAAGCAATTACAATCGATCAACTAACACCAAACGGTATTGAGGAAAAATGAATTAAAGAAATTTCATCAAGACTATCCTTTAGAAAAGAACTTACTTGTGTTTATGAAAAACTAGATAACTTGATCTCTTTCTAAAGAAATGTTCCAAGGTTCACTATAACAATAGAATTTTAGACAGAAAGCTTTTGCTATTTAGTCTTTATTCATTCAATAGATAAAGTGCACTTTCGTTCATTTTATTTATTTATTTATTTAAACACATATATATTGGTACAAAAGGGCGCCAGATACATATGCGCCACACAAAATAATGAAAGTAGGAAGAGAAGGGATGAAAAGATAAGGCGGACAGAAATGTACAACCAGAAGACTCAGTTAAGAAAGTTAGAACCACTCTATATGAAGAAAGTAAAAGAAGATTACAGCAGGATCGCCACTGGCTTCTATTCTGAGCCATATCTGATAACGTCTCTAGCCACTGTGTTGCACCATCTCTCGGACCCCAGCCAGGGAGTCGTGAAAGACCAACAGAAGCTAGCCCTTTGCAGCTTTCTTTCATGCCACGACACCATGTCATACACTGACCTCCTCTCCGCTTTTTACAACCAGTCGCAGTTATGACTTTGTGCGAAGAATGCTAATAATTTGACAAATTTTATTAACTGAAGCATATAACCAGCTTGTGATATATATTACTCAGCAATTTTGCTTTCAGAGAATAGTCTTTACTTCACTCTAAAGACTTGTTCATAAGAATCAAAGTTTGCTAAAATATTTGACTTGGATAATGTAATTTCTGATAACTATATAATAAGTAATATATTTTGTCTTTACAAATAGAGTTAGCGTTAATTTTACATGAACCGAGGAAGGCATCAGCTCGTGCTGTTGGTAGAACAAAACTTGCAGGTACGGAAATTTTTTAAAAGTCTTGTTAGTCTATATATGTTTTGATTATTCTGGAAAAAAAACATTTTACTGTCTAACGAGTTTATAATTTCATGGCTTTATCAATTAGTCATTAAGTGAACGTTCTTATGATAATTTAGTTGTATGATGCTTTCTTTTCTAAATGACATTTTAAGGCATATTCGATGTTGAACAGATCATAACTAACAAAATTGTCAAGGTTTACCTCCCAAAAAACAAATGACTAATAAATTTCTAACATTCATTTCAGTACTTCGAAAGTTTTATTAGTCAAAATTTTTTTTATAAATCTAGCTAGTATAGTTTAAGCTGTTGGATGATTATCAAAAGCTAAGTTGAATCAAAGATCATAACAGTTGCTTATGAAAATTGTAGTGGATCTGAATGAATGACATATTTTTGGTAGGTTTCAACGGCTTCTGTCCTTCAAAGTTATTCGTATAAGTAAAGATCTAAATTTTACATTAACTAACTTGTTGCGTAGAGAGTATTTTAACATATTTATAACACGGTTAACAGTGGAATCGTGGATGCACTTTTCGCTTATCATATAGATATGCTTGAATCTCAATGTTGCTGCATGCACGTAAATTTGAACATATACGTATGGCTTCTAACGTCAGTCTAATATCCATCAATTTGCTGAACTAATGTAAAGGTATTAGTGAGGGTTTGTGATTTACAGTCAGTTGTCATCGTTAACTGCAATCGATCAGTCTTTTTTGATATATATATATATATATATTAATGCACTAACAAATATTAGGAAGTGAAAGATTCTATATTACATAGCCGTGCTCACTCAGTTAATTAATATATATGTCACTTTCCATATTTTCTCTCTGCTCGTTACGTTGTCTATGGAAGTTGTAAAACATTTATCTTTCGAGTTTTTCTGTCGAGATCCTCTTTCTTTCCTTTGCCATTATATATTAGTTCTGGATGTATCAAGTTTTGAACGACTTATGGGACCATGTATAGAAATTATGCAACGTGAAATGGGACGCTATCGTACTCAACTACTTGAAACTTTGGGACCAGATGATATACGTAATAATCCTTCATTGGCAAAATTCGTAGAATTCGAGCAGTAATTTCAAAAAGAAAAAAATATGTCAACTATAATGAATTGTCTATTTTCAATAATTTCTTTATATTAATCTTTTACGTAAATGATCGTATCCCCATTGTTTTACTGATGAATTTCTGTATGTTTTATGGATATAAATATTTACCGTTTTCATTATCTTTTTACAATGTCTCTAATGTGAATATTCTCACTATTTACACTTATATTCGATCAACGAATCTATTTTAAAAACTGATGTTTATTATTATTATTATCATCATATTGTTGGTATATTAAACTACTTACTCAAAATACTACTCATATACTATTTTCATACGAATTCTATGAAATACTTTACAAAATAGTTTGATTGATTATGTTTTTTCCTGATAATTTAACAACCTTTATCGATTCTTGCACAATGTAAATAATCAACTGATCTTTGGGGGTATTTTTCCCTTTAATTTAGAATAGAAAAAGTGTGTAAAAAGTAAAACAGGTGACAAAAATTGATGAAAAGAAAAAGAATTTATCCCTAAACATAGGATATAATTGAAAATTTAAAAAAAGTTTAAAAAATATTTACTTGTTAAATTTTATTTATTAGAACTTCATTGCATTTCACTTAATACTTTTCTTGTATACTAACTGAATTTATTTAGTACATTGAAAAATACATCAGATGAAAATTATGATATTTATTAATTAATTAATTATTATTATTATTTATTTCTGATTATAATTGATAATTATTAGTCAATAGTCATCTAGTGATATTATTATCAACTTTACAAATCTCTCTTTTCTTTTTTGAGTTGACATTGTGACAGTTAAATGATGGACTATTGTTTAATAATCAAAAAGTGTTTATGGTACTTATTTTGACAATTCATACTCATACAATTATGATCCTAAAGTAAACTTTCTCTAATTTTTTTTTCTACTAACTATAACTTATGTTTGAGTATGTGTGTGTGTGAGTGCACGGTAATGTTTTTATCTTATATTTATCTTTTATTAAACAATGAACAATATTTGCTTTCTAAAGTGTTTTTAGTTTATTCATTTTGAAATGTACAGCTATAAATAGATTTTATGTAGTTCCATATTTTACTGGCTCAAAATATTTTAATTAAACTAAAAGATGCTATATACCTCTTGTGTTAAAGTTATTTCATTTAGTTTTTAAAGTATGATTATAATATTGTTAGCTGTGTGTTATTGTTACTAGAATGCTTTGTGTAATAATTAAACAAGTTTAATTTATTATAACTTCATTGGTTTTTATTTCTATCAGACTATGCATCATTATAAAAGCTTTTTCATTGTTAATTTAGAAAATACCGAAATGTCTTAAGTGACGTATTTAGAACTGGTGTTTGGAAAGGTGTAGGTATTTCATATATATAGACTAAACATCCAATACGAATAAATTTTTAAGTTGTTAATGGTTTTAGTAATGCATCTCTGCCATTCTTTTTGATTGGAGATAAAACATCTGTCTTACAATCTGTAAGTTTATTTGATGATAACAATTATTTGGGCAATGGTTGAGAACTCTTTTTTCTGATCATACTAATCACCTGTTACAAATGACCACGTCAGTTTTTGAGCTGATTCATATGGCTTTTAGTAATCGAAATATAAACATAAAACAAATATATTTTATTGAAACCTCATATTATAGAGATAACTAGATATTTTGAGTTTTTACCTGCTATAACATAACATAGTACTTAAAATTGTAACGAACTTTCAAGTCGTTCATGGAGGACAACTTACCGACTCGTTTCAAGTAAAGACCGGTATCAGGCAAGGTTGCTTACTCTCACCCTTTCTCCTTCTCCTGGTCATCGACTGGATCATGAAGAAGTCAACATCTGGAGGAAAGCACGGGATACAGTGAACAGGCAGGATGCAACTGGACGATTTAAACTTTGCAGATGATCTGGCTATTCTATCTCAAACGCAACAACAAATGCAGGAGAAAACGGCCACTGTGGCAGCAGCCTCAGCAGCAGTAGGTCTCAATATAAGCAAATAGAAAAGCAAGACTCTCCGACACAATAGAATATGCACCAATCAAATTACACTTGACGGAGAAGCTTTGGAGGATGTGAAAACCTTTACATATCTGGGCAGCATCATCGATGAACACGGTGGATCAGCTGCAGATGTGAAGGCGAGGATCGTCAAATCAAGAGCAGCATATTTACAACTAAAGAACATCTGGAAATCAAAACGATTGCCAACCAACACCAAGGTTAGAATTTTCAATACAAATGTGAAGACAGTTCTATTGTATAGGGCGGAGACGTGGAGAACTACGAAAGCCATTATCCAGAAGATACAAGTGTTCATCAACAGCTGTCTACGGAAAATACTTCGGATCCGTTGGCCAGACACTATCAGCAATAAGTTACTGTGGGAGAGAACAAACCAGATTCCAGCAGAGGAAGAAATCAGGAAGAAGCGCTGGAAGTGGATTGGGTACACCTTGAGGAAATCAGCTAATTGCGTCACAAGGCAAGCCTCACATGGAATCCTCAAGGCCAAAGGAGAAGAGGAACACCAAAGAACACATTACTCTGAAAAATGGAAACAGACATGAGAAGAATGAACAAAGGTTGTATAGAACTAGAAAAGAAGGCCCAGGACAGAGTGGGTTGGAGGATGCTGATCGGCGGCCTATGCTCCATTGGGAGTAACAGGTGTAAGTAAGTAAGAAGATATTTACAACGTTCGCAAGTAGAGAAGCATATTTCACAATTTATATGTCGATTGAGCTTGCTAGAAACTTTCATTTATAAATAAGGACACTGGAGTTTTTTTTCTCTTAGCAAGATTTAAAAATAAATTAGTTTTAAACTTTAAACGTTTATCAATTAATTCATCATTATCACGACATGTATTCGGTAATATGTCAATTTCTGTGTGTAAGGCTAACAAAAGCAAGAAACACGTTTCACGTTTGCAGTATAATAAAAAAAACTGCATTGCGTTTAATGAGAATAAATGAAACAACAAAACTTATCGAATTGTTGCGTAACCCAAACTAACTGTAAGGACATAAAATATCAAAAGTTGTCGATGAGTTTATTTGTAAACCAGATCATTCAGAATGAGCATGTGAGATAGGAATCAACCAAGACCGGAACATTGACACAATGAGTCACACCATAATTTTAACAATATATCTTGATGATTCACACAACATTTTGGAGATCTCTGAGTAGAAATCATTCGATGAGCTTCAACATATTTAAATTAAATGATGCATAAATTGACTGTGTATTTAAGTGAATTAGGGAGAGATATATATTCAAATGATTATCTGTTTACTTCTGAATGCCCAAGTTTAGTTCAAGTGTTTTGATAGCAATAAATCTTACAAAAAAAATCAAATTTTGCTGAAGGAGTATTTCAAATGACTTCATAATTTTGACACTACTACAGTTTTTAGTTAACTTGCAAGCGAACCCATTTGTAATAACTATGTTAACAGGTTCAAATTAGGTGCTTTGAGATTTTTATGTTAAACTTTCATCTTTTTTCGAAATTGACGCACGACCAGATAATGTGCAGAATAGAGTTACTGTAGTTATAAATAGTTAATCTTGGATACTGACGATTTTGTAAGTCACATAAAAAACGCGTTCTATATCAAAATATTTTTATTATTGTTTAAATAATGCGTTCTTATTTTCCTTTTTTTAAAGAAGTGATTTCAGGTTGAAAAAATAATGATTGTTTCCATGCCTTAAATAAAAAGTTACTTGAGATTATGGAATACCTGATTTTATATTTGAATTCATGAATCAATTGAAGCTAGACTACAATGTAAAACCTGGAAGCACTGGACGGCCTTTTCATCCTATTGTGGAACTCCTCAGCAGTGCACATCCACGATCCCTCCTCGCAAGATTCTAACTCAGGACTTATCAATCTCACACGCGACTGCTTAACCTCTAGACCACTGAGCCAGCATCCAATGGTGTTGAAGTTAAGAATATACTATGGTATTTCAATCAATCTGGTTGCTTTAATAGATAGTTTAAGGACTTTTTGTTACATAACACTTATCAATGCGTAATAAGTAAATCAAGGTCAAACTCAGAATAGTCTTCCGTTCCATATAGAAGAATGCATTATTTTTTACTTCGAATTATAATATCTTCATTCCGTCTATTCTCCTTGAGATACTCTTTTAAAGGTGTTTGAGTTTTCAATGGTTGACTAAGATTTATCTGGTACAGATCATTAGTTTAGTACAAATTTATATGTCTTATTTAAAGAAACATATTTAATGTATACAATGCCGTAGTTTCCTAATTAAGATATCTGGTTAGTTTATCAATTTACAGGTCGCTACATGACTGATAATTTGAGATCATTTTAGTTTACAACACAATAATCAAAAGATGTAATGTTTAAATATTTCGCTTTTCGGCTATCAAAGTAGTGAACATAAAACTGCGAATGGATTCAACTTGAAGAGTTTACTCTCGTTCCGAGTGTAAATATTTGTATCTTGGGTTATATTTTTATAATACAATTTCTAACGTATCAACTTTCAGTAGTAGATAAAATAATCACTCTGACTACACAAATATTTGGGTATGTCTACTTTAACTACTTACGAGTAACACAAATACTGTAACCAAAATTGGTAACGGTTTTGGTTGGGATCATCAATCGATCGATGTTAGATTACCGTTGAAAACCTGGAAGCACTGGACGGCCTTTTCGTCCCAGTATGGAACTCCTCAGTGGTGCTCATATACTATCCCGCAGGTTGGATTCAAAACCAGAACCTCCAGTCTAGCTCGCGAACAGTTAACCTCTAGACCACTGAGCTTCATCAGATTTCATCGATGTTAATGAAAAGCTGGGTTAAATTATAATCGCATAATCATACAAGTAATGTAAAACTGTGTTCTTTAAAACATTGTTAAATGTTAAAAACCTGACTACTGTCCTTTATATTTGTTTTACAAATACAAAAGTCTTTACCAATGAATAAATTCCTCAAGCCTGAAGTGAAATGTTATTGCACTATAATAAATCGTGTTTAACCTAAATTTCAAACTCATTAAGGATATATTTGCTTTAGATCCTCAAATGTTGTGGTGAATTTTGCTTTCACAATGAAGAAGGAAATGTAATTGCAGCACTTCAATATTTTCGCTAAAGATGGTTGAATTACGATGTTGTGAAAATTTATCGTTTGACGTTAACTTAACTTTCTGGACACTTTCTGAAATTCTATATTGACAACCAAATGACTTTGTGTGAGTAATTCAAGTAAACAAGTCTAAATGTGATATGTATTAGACAGATTTTCTGGAATATACAAATAAGATTACAAGTGAAAGGATTATAATTATCATGTATTTGAATATTATCTTTATAGTGTAAATGATGATTAACATTCTAATAGAATCGTGTGTAATCGAGTTTTTGATTAATAAATGCTTTTTTATTGATGTAACAGAAATCATATGTAAATATTTTCCAGTTTGCAGTATTTTTTAATTTATCGATTTAAGGTTTTCATTTTCAATTTGCTAAATTTTCTGTGTCAAGGTTATTTCTGGCTAATATATATAATGTGATTAAACTTTAATTTTGTTTTCAGTAAATACATAGTTCCCTTCTACCTTAGTTTATGGTTCCATCTTTATCTATTGTTGTTGAAGGGTTATGTGAGCCTAAATATAGATGCATAGTCATATTCACGATTTGTAGTTTGATGTTGAACATATAATCTATCCATTTCTAATATACGAAACAGAATATTGAATTTCTTAATATATTTGATTCAAAAAACCGTTAGGTGATTTTTATATTGACAGTTCATTTTACAAACAAATTTCACCAAACAAATGATATCCTAGATTCTGGATACATGAAAACGATCCAGAAAAACAATGCATTCGCTTAACAACAATCATAATAATTATAATAATAGTAATAATAGAAATAATAATAGTTTGTTGACATGATGAAAATAAAACTTTTTGAGCACGAAATTTGATAAAATCCTATAGGGAATAAAATACTGATGGATAAATAAGAGAAAACCGCTTCTAGCTTCCTGATCCAATATGATATGTTTACAATCATCTATGCTATTATTAAATTTTGTTTGGTTTGTGGTGAATAAATGAATTTTTTAATGGAATGTATTTACCAATATACATTGAACATTGGGACTCCTCAGCAGTGCGCATCCACGAACCCGTTCTCGCGAGATTCGAACCCAGGACCTACCAGTCTCGAGCCGAAGCCCTTAACCGATAGACCACTGAGCTGGCATCCAACGGTGTTAATGTCTAACTTCAACTGATCCACGAAGTTGAGCAACCATTCACCAATTGTCTTCAGTGAGTTCCTATCTCACAACAGACGTGGTTTTGAACTCCACTGGTTATACATGCAACATTATATATATATATATATATATATATATATATATATATGAGCTGTCAACAATCATATATGTTTCAGTACACTATAAAACTGATAACAAAAGGCCTAAAAAGAACCCAGTGACAATATGAATTGAAATCGGTTTATTTTTAAAAATCGATTCAAGTTTTAAAAATTATCGAAATAATGAATTTGA